GTGCGCTTACATATATGCTGGTCTTGGGTGTTAGATTCAGAGTTTTATATGTAATAGAATTTTTTGGCTGAGTTCAGTCAGCTATAGGTGTGAGAAATGTCCAAATCTTTATTTGGATTTTTATTAGATTCTAGATGGAAACATTTCTTTTTCTTGATTCAATAGTGTATTCAATGCTGGAGGATAAGCGAGAAAGTGAATACTCGTAGCCTTTACACAGTAACTCAGTGGTGTCCAAACTTTTCCCAAAGAGGGCCAGATTTGATGAAGTGAAGGGCCGTGAGGGCCGTCCAAAGGGCCAACCAAGGTTGTTCAGCTTTTCTTAGAATTGAAGTTGTTGAGGTTTTTTAAGGGTTTTACCCCAGGACTGCCACGGGGGACGGATTAAACCAACCGGTGGGCCGGATTAGGCCCCCATAACGGACTTTGGACATGCCTGCAGTAACTGCAATAGATAGTGTGATTAAAAAAAAAGCCAAAATGAATGATGGTTTGGTCCTGGTTAAAAAACAAAACAATAGGCACCCTATTTTTTCTTCATGTAATGTACCATTGAGAATTGTAGAGTTTCAAGGCCAGACATTCTTGGCAAGTCTCAATTGTACGACTGCATGTTAATCACTAATGTGTTACATGCAGTGCCACCTTTTGCTGCTTGAGTTGACCCATCTTACATTACTGATTAATCTGTTTACAAATATTAATTAGCCTTACTACATTGATGACAAATAGAACATATTGGATTCCCCCCTACATATAAAACTTTAATTGGGGTTGTTGGGCAAATAAGGTTGCAAATGATATAGTGTGCTGTCAGATGCTTCATTATTTCATGGAATCATATAATAGTAGAGTTGGAAGTAATCCTGATGGACTTGATATCCCGCCTTTCACCCCCCTTAAGGAGTCTCAAAGCGGCTAACAATCTCCTTTTCCCTTCCTCCCCCACAACAAACACTCTGTGAGGTGAGTGAGGCTGAGAGAGTTCAGAGAAGTGTACCTAGCTCAAGATAACCCAGCAGCTGCATGTGGAGGAGCGGGGAAGCGAACCCGGTTCACCAGATTACGAGTCCACCGCTCTTAATCTTTTGCCCAATGTGGTCTCGAACCCACAAACCTGAGATTAAGAATTCTTGTGCTCTACCAAGGTTTCCACTGCGAAGTAATTATTATGAATTATGACTAAAATGGGCTACTATCCTGTTTCCTGGAAGTAAGCCTCATTGAACTACATTCTGAGAATACATTTTATAGAAGGTTATTGTGATGCTGCGATCCTGTGCACACTCACCTGGGACTCAATAGGACTTATTTCTTAGTAGGCCTCAGTAGGATTTCACTGTAAAGGTAATTGAAGTTTTGGGGAGCCTTGATGATGGTTTTAGATTTTAAAATAAAGCAGTGAAGTAGCTCACAATGACTGAAGATTTCAGCGACCTTTCATTTATTGCAGCTGGATCAAACTTCACTGACTACTTTCACATATGCACACCAGTACCTGACTCCAAAAGGGATTCTGCACTAGCACAGCTATCTAGAGGGTAGCAACATGGAGCATGTCAGAAGTTGTTGGACTACAGTTCCCATCATTTGTGACCATTGTTCGTGTCTGCTGTGGCAGATGGGAGTTTTAGTCCCAACAACAGAGAACGCTGTTGTGGCTATATCCGAGTTAGCAGTTAGTAGATGTAGTTCCATGCTGAGGGCCTAGTTAGCATTTGAATTAAATTTTGTTTCCGTGCATCTCAAATACTTGCAGAGGATATCAGCGCAAATGTGGATACTGAAGAAAATTCTGGTCAAATATTATTCTTGTTTTTGATAATTATGATCCTTCTGTAAAGGTGGCGGCAGCATGGAGTGTTCTATTTAACTCCTAGATGCAGTGCCAGAGAGATTTCATAAAAAATGTCAGGAATGCTTTTTACTAAACGCATCTTGGTAATACATTTTAATAGCACAATTTAAGTGAAATTCATAAAGTATGCATCAAAGATTCTTACTGATGAGACATATGTTGTGTTTCAGTGTTTCATCATAAACTTGCATAAATTCAGAGAAGGAGGGAAGGAAGCAAAGAATGATATGAACTAAAAGCAAAATATATCAATAGATATCATATGATGTGTATATGTAGCTACAATATTGTTCCAACGCAAATTAGATGTATTATATGATGTCAGTTAAAAAGATGAAAAGTGAATATGGCTGTTCTGTGTATTCTGGTTTTCTTATCAAGCCTGGCTTGCACTATGATTGAAAATAATTCAGTTGTCATGAACACTTTTTTATACAGAGCATTAACACAACATTAGTCCACTGTGTGCTTTTTAACAACCTACAGCACTGAAGCACATTCCCTTTCTCTTGCAGGTATATTACAGAATGAACTGTATTTTATTGTTTACAGCAGAACTGTACTGTAGCATTTCATTTTTTAAATATTAGCTGCCATGGCCTTTTTAGTAGGCATTTTGGAAAAATTTGGATGCATTTGTTTTTCAGTGAGCCATTTGCTGTTAATATTTTTTTATTGAACTAGCAGTGTTTTATATGTAGATTTTAGTGTACCTTCTGTTGGTAAATCAGTCCATTGTGTGCCTTTGACACTGAAGCCATATCTAATGAAATCTTTAGTAGTGTGCTGTGTGAGTTCTATAAATAAGGAAGGAAATGCTAAAATGACTGTGTATGTGTTTCTTTATGTAGATAAGCATACAGGAAAAAGTATTTAATTTTATATTTTGCACCTTATTTTGCTGCCATGGATAAAACCTTTCCATCCAGTTTTTACTCTTGGCATCTTCAAGTGATCCCCTGCGGGCCTGGGCAGAGTTTGTCTGATGCCTGTAGCAGGAGTTAGAATAAACTTTAAAAAAGCAACTGGTCCCTGGAGGGGCCCCCTGGCTGCCTTAGCCCCCTGAGGCCTGGGGCACGTGTACCTGGCTGCCTTAGCCCCCTGCACAGGCCTGGACACACCCAGAGCCTTTCATATTGCCAAAACCTTCAAGTTTCCTGGGCATTTTTGGAAAAAGGATGAATGATCCATTGGTCTGTTCCATTGCCTCATGTCTCTCCTGCTACCATATCTGACCAAAAGCAATGGTGTGGATGAAGCAATGTGCCAGCAAAGGCCAACATGGTGCCCTCCAAGGTGTCCTTGCAGTAAAACTCCAAACCCGTTGGCCATGCTGATGGGAGTTGGAGTTCAACAGCATCTGCAAGGCACACTGTTGGCTACCCCTGCCATATGTAGCTGCCCTGCTCATAATGTTGGGTAAGGTATGGTTGCTGTATATGGAATTCTCTTCACCTAAGTGTAGAAGACAAATACTGACTTTTAAGATAAAAGGTGGAATTAGTCTGCTGCACTTACAGTTCTAGTTGCAACACAGGGCCCATTTCACCCTATTTATCACAGTTTTGGCAGGGGTGTGTGTGTGTGTGTGTGTGTGTGTGTGTGTATGTGTGTGTATAGGGGGTTATATTATAGCTTTGCCAGAGCAGTGAACAGGCTTTACAGTTAATTCCTTTCCACAACTCCCTCTTGGTATCACATTGATATAGCTGTGGCATATGTGCAAAGAACTCTGTAGAGTAAAATTGGAGGTATAAGGAAAGTCAACTGGGTGTATATTCATTTAAGAAGAAGAATCAAACGGTTCAAGCATATTTTCCGTGCTTTATTTGCTTACTGTTACTTACATGTCACTATATTTTAGAAACCCTCCTTGTGAAGATTTATGGCATTAAAAAAAGGTGTTTCTTTTCTAATCATACAAAAATCTGACATTCTTCAAACTGCTTTGACAGTCTTAAAATCTAGTTTTGAATAAATAGTAAGAAAATCTTGTTGGAAGCTTGTTGGAAATTAATTCGTTCTGGAGGTCCGTTCTTAACCTGAAACTGTTCTTAACCTGAGGTACCACTTTAGCTAATGGGGCCTCCTGCTGCCGCCACGCCGCTGCCGCGTGATTTCTGTTCTCATCCTGAAGCAAAGTTCTTAACCCAAGATACTATTTCTGGGTTATTGGAATCTGTAACCTGAAGCATCTGTAACCTGAGGTACCACAGTATTAGCCTATGGGTCTTTCTCCTTGAGAAATGTGAACTAGCTCTATTCTGATAATGGAATAAAGATTAAAAAGAGAGAGAGGCTGATATAGGTAAAATACCAAATGAGGAATTCACAAGCAACCCATCCAAACCAAAGGTATATGTGCTTGATCATATCTTGCAACTGCAGGACCAGCCTTTCATTAGAAAATCCTCACAAGTTTTATTACTAGTTGAGATACCTTTAGTCTCAAGTATTTATGCTTCAGTATTTAAGTACATACAGTAGAAGCCATATGTATATAGAATGATATGTGGGTGTAGCCCTAGCTGGATGTAGGATCACACCCATGACTTCCAAACTTGATCCAGCAGTTGCAGCTGTGCATGTGTAGTAGTCCCATCAGATGAATGGCATTTGTATCCTCCTCCTTAATGGGCATGATTGTCATTTACCTGATTGGGCCATTAATGTGCTGTGTTGACAGCTGCTTACCTACATACTTTCCAATGTCTTACTGTTGTTTGGAACTTATCAAGTTGATGCTTCTGGGAACAGCTTTGTGATATGATGCAATTACTTTGCTTAATTTTTATGAGTTACATTTACTAGCTTACCTTGAAATTTTGCAGCGAAATATAGATCACACACAAAGCACATGCATACCCCAGAAAATCTCAGCCAGATTAGAATTTAAACTAAAATCCCTCAAATTAGCTTAACCTTTATTACTAAAAGCCAGTCCAAGAAGGTTTCAGTAACCTTTCAGTGTAGTCGTGCTTGAATTTGTGGCACATCCACAAGAGAAAGACACTGTATGAATGTGGTGTGATGATCCTGTACACTTATATGAAATGGCCATATGTTTCCACAGAATAATAGAGTTGGAACGGATCCTGAGGATCATCTAGTCCAACACCCTGCAGTGCAGGAATACACAGCTGTCCCCTACGGGGATCGAACCTGTGACCTTGGTGTTATCAGCACCATGTTTTAACCAACTGAGCTATCCAGGAGTAGCTGTACATGGTGCATGGCAAATATGGGAAGAAGGGCATTCGTCATCCATTCTTCGGAACTCCACGGTGGTACATGGGTTATAATTTTGTATTTAAGTTGTGCCTAATACAGTTATGGCTTTTTGGTCAAACCAAACATATTGAATTGTGTTTGGCTTGCTATAGATTCAGATTAGAAGGGATCTAGAGTAGGCACCCCCAACATTCATCCCTCCAGATGTTTTGGACTACAATTCCCATCATCCCTGACCACTGGTCCTGTTGGCTAGGGATCATGGGAGTTGTAGGCCAAAACGTCTGGAGGGCTGCAGGTTGGGTATGCCTAATCTAGAGGACCACTGGAAAAGCTTCTAGATTCTTAAGTGTTACTGGCATATGGTGTGCGAAATAGTTTTGAATGCCTGCCTTCCACAATTGCATTGTCTTGCAGTGCCTTTTTTTTATTATTTCTACAGCAGCCTTGAAGTGCCACATACAGTGCCTTAAAACAGAACTTTCTCAAAGAGAAATTGCTTGTCTACTACACGTGTGCATAGGAGTGAGTTGTGATTCTGGGAGTTATGTGTGTTGATGACCGAAGAAACTAATTTAGGTGATGACGCATATAAATAAATCCCAGTTTCATTTATCTTGCTCAGATACAGTTGTGGGCATATTTGGTCATGCTGATGCATGAGCAGCTGCTAGTGGAGAAATCAACTTGAAGGGTGAAACATGGAAATCCAATATTAATTAGTTTCCCTCTCATTTAAAATAAATAAATGATTTGTCTTAATTTAACTCAGTTTCCTGAAGGTGTCATGAAGGAACTGTGGGCCCTTCCTTATTTCTCAGACATAATACGGCTAAGCTCATGGCAGAATTATTTTCTAAACCTTGGATGCCTTCATACTGATTTGTTATAAGAATTATTAGTTGCCAGGAATTTATTGTGCTTGTGTTTTTCCCATAAATATACAAGAGCATCTTCGAGGAAATGAATCTGTTATAGAAATCTGCTGGTTTTAAATGAACAGTGATTCAATTACAAACTCTACTCAGAAAGTCAACAAAGATAGAAATAATCTGGGTGCTTATTAAACATATTTGCATGAGTATTGTGCTAATGTATGCAGAAGCATGTTGCGGTGGTATTGAGTTGCATAGCCTAATGCACCTGTTCAACCGTCTACATGTGCTACAGGTTGAAATAGGTTTACTTCACAAGGAAGGGGGGGAATCTCATTTATTTACAGGTGCCAAACCTATTACAGCATCCATTTGTTCAGCAGCTTCCATTTAAGATTATTTTAATCAGTTTCTGGGACTGATTGGAATAGATTCAATAAATTTCCTGTGGCAGGTTGGCTTTGCAGTGAACTAATAAAAAATGTGGAGCATGATGAAGAGTCGCCCATCTAGGTTTTTAGAAGGCTGGTTGAGACAGCATGTCCATTGCTGGAGGAGAAAGGATTATAGCAATAGAGCTAAATACAGATTTTGCGCCATGTTGATACTTTCAACCAACTAACTAGTTTAAAGTTATCTAATACGGCGCCTTCTTGCATTTCAAGAGATGTTGCTGCTCTCCTCTGCATGTTCATTTTTTTTAAAGAAAAAGGACAAACACAATAGTGTATGTTCATCATTACCTCCCATCCATAAAAGGTAAATACAACATGTTTTTGCAGTACGTTGTTTGTAACACATGGGTTTGGATCTGGAAATCTGCCAGCCCCCCCCCCCAGCTGTCTCCCAGAAAGGCTTCTCCAAGTGTCAGAGGAGACGGCTGCTTTGGGGTGGACTCTGGAATGGGAGAGGGACCTGAAGGGGAATGTTGTGTATGACCAGGGAAGCTAACTTCTTTCTGCTGCCTCCCCATTTCCTCTTGGCCTCCTGTTCCATAGCACACCCCATTCAGCAGTGTACCCTGACCTTTGGGGGTAGCATTTATTGGTGGGCTGCCAAGGAGTTTCCAAGAACTTCAGTTTTATGCAGCGACTCCCTATGCAATGTAAACCTGAGACGTAGTTTTGTGCTAACTCTACATAAGTGAACTGATCCATTTACATGATGCAAATACATAGGTTAAGAAACCGCTATCTGTAATTGGTAATTGATACAGTAGCTTTTACATTGGCATGGGTATCTCAGTACGTCCTGTCAGGAACACTATGGCAGATGGAAATACGTAGTTCATTTTGCGGTTAAAATGTTGCATGCCTTATTTACATTACTTTTGCTGCCTGTGATTGATTACACGCCACCCACACCCCCAATCTTTACTGAGCAGCAGCAAAATTCCAGTGGCATTTCCAGACGTTCACCCAGTGTTGTGTTTCCTTGGGGAAAATGAGGCACAACGGAGGCTACTGTCTTTATGAAATATGGCTTATTCACATGCGTTTTGAATTGAGTTTATGGAGAGAGAGAGTTCACAGCATTTACACCCCAAGAGGGGCGTGTCCTTCCCAGCAGTGCAGCAATGGATTCAGAAGCATCCTAAATCCATCCCTCTGTCTCTCTGTAACAGCCTGCTACAGCCAGCCGGCATGTCTCATGCACTTAATTCTGCATGGAGTTCTGTCCACTTCCTGCTCCTTTTCCCCAGCAACCCCTGTTCCCAATGCATCTATTGTAAAAGGGTACCCTTTCTTCCTGTGGTGACATAAAGCCGCCCCCCCCGTTACCCTGGCAACCTCCCTTTGTGCCTGGCAGAGCCTGGTTGATGACTTCCATTGAGGGGCTAATGGCTGCCCATCAGCACCCTTGCTTCGTCTTTCAGTTGACAAATTTCGTATCATATTTTCAGAATCTTAAACAATTTATATTAAGTGTTTAAAGCTTCAGTCTTATATAAACTTACCTGGGAGCAAGACCACGGACATGATGCAACTTACTGCTGAGTAAACACACACATCACTGTCCTCTTCCCTATATGTTCCCTATATATCGTTAAATGCGTACTTTGGAATAACTTTACAAATGCTGTTATCCATGTTAGCTGATTTTAGTCTAATACAGATGGTTGGCATCTGTAATAAATCTATTATTATTTTTAGTGTGCTGCTTAGTTTACTGCAGTGATATAATTATAACTGATTCACAGAAAATATTATTTTCCAAACAGATATAGGGAATGTTTATGCACACATACCACACGAACATATAAATCCAGTGTTGGAGGAAATTGGTTTACTGCCACTGCTGAATATTAATTTTTCTTAAATGATATATCCCACTTATTAGACCCAATACCAGCTTATTTGTCATCACAATCCTCCTCTCTCTGTTCTCCCCCTTTCTGGTATGTTATCAGTAATGCCTTTTCAGCGGCATGTCTAAATAATTGTCAAAATGGGAGCATTCCCTTGTTTTGATGACTTACAAAACGCATATACAAAAACCCTTGCACTTTGAAATGGTTGAATCCTTTCATGAAAGTTAATAGAAGATAAAGGAGTGTATCCAAGTAGTGTTTGTCCAAGGAATTTGATCCAAGGTGTCTGACTGTCTCTAATGGAGGATGACAAGGAAGGTTTTAAGAAGTCATCTCATACATTGTCTTCAGACACAAAAACCTTCCGCCTGCATCTTTCAACTTGCTGCACCTCTTTCTGAAGGAGCCATGAGTAAACTGCTGAATTTTTATTAATCAGCTTACCCTAATGAGATGAAAAGACCTTTTCAAAAGAGTGAGGAAAGAGCTGCATACAGAAACAGGGGTGGGTTTTTGTTTTTTGGGGGGATGTTTTTACATAAACAACTTATAGGAGCTATGATAGTGGTTGAGGAAGAAACGAGATTCAGTTCTGATTTTGGCTTCTTGGTCTGTTCTTTTCTTGTCTTCTTCACCTAGTTTTAGACTTCCTGCCTTCATATCTAATGAGATCTTTGAAAATACAAAGAAGATTTAACAAGTGTGTGTATTTTGTGTGCTGTGAGGAAAGGGGAAGCAGCGGGGAGAAAAATACCTTTTGGGAACTGAGGCAAGAAAACCTAAGCTGATAAAACATGACTCTTCCCACCCCCCACCTCCCTCCCCAACAGGGAGTTGTTTGGATAACTTGCCCTTTTCTAAATTCTTCCTTTCTCTTTCTGCACCCCCTTCCCCTTTTTTCTCTCTTGTCAAGCCTACTTCATAAACGGTAGCAGCTGGAGATCTTTTTAGTGGCATTCAGGGATTACTGCCCTTCAGGATTTTAATAAGCCCTGATGCTTGAAATGCCTGTAAGGGTGCTCTCTGAGACAATTACCATTCAGGACTAGGAATTGAGGGCCCTTCAGCGGCCCAGATGGGTGAGGTTCTGCACATGGGCAGATAGTGTTCTATGAACAACAGATCACTGGAGCAAAGAAGGGGAGGGGAAATAAGAGAGGAAAGAAAGAAAGGAATGGGATGGTGTGTGTGTATGTATGTGTGCACCATACAGCTAATCAAAGATGAATTTGTTAATTCTTTTATAGGTAACTAGATTTAAAACTCACAACTCTCTAGAAGGATGATAAATTCAGTTAGTTGTTTATGCAGTTCACAGTATGAGTTTGGGATGTTTTTATTTTTTATTTTACATTTGCAGTTCTCATTAATGGGATGCCTAGTTGAGTTTTCATCTCTTGCAAGAGAGAAATAATCTCCAGGGGCTCACAATAAAAGTGATATTCTTCATGCTACAACTGGATAACTGCTTTGTGGCCTACTCAGAGTTCATGGAGTAGGTACTGATTATCCTTTCACATAAGGAAAAAAGGGAGGATTTTAAAAACCCGTTGTTTTTAGTATAGGGTACTTCAAGAAGATGTTTGTTTCTTTGCTAAAGTTAACTAAGTTAGAACTCTGTGCAGTCTCTTTAGTCAGCGTCCTGTTAGCACACACAAGTATCCTTTTAGACGGGATGAGAACATTTGAAAGCTAGCCTAGTAGTTTTGATCATTATCTTATTGCAGTAGCGACTCCTGAGAGCCACTCATTTTGGCTGCACAGTGCTTCATTATAAAATATAGAGAGTAACTATTAACAGAACATTTGTTCTCCATCTGGAGGGACATATACTACATTTTTAATCGATGAACTTTCTCTTGCCAGAAGAATCATTTTATGCTACTGTTAATTAAGGTTAATATTTGACATGTTTAGCTGAGAAAGAGTAATTTCTTTTGGCTCTTATGATATATCCATTATCCTTTTTAAGTAAAAAGTGATTGGAAGTAGTGAATAAGTCTGACTGTAGAGTGAGGATCCATAAATAGAAGGACATTGGCTTGTTAAGCTTATGTGTTGTTTACCAGATCCAAATAGACTTTCCCAAATTCCCTTCCACTTCACTGGAATATTTGCCCTTCTTTGCAAATGTACCAATAAGTAATGCTTCTTTGTAATCCTTAACTTTAAGCATGCCTAAGTAATGCTGTATGCGTCTAGAATCTACTTCACATTACATCAGAAACATATGAGGCTAAATTAAGTGTCTATCCAGGATAAACAGAAACTGCTTACTCCTGTGTAAATGCTTCCAACAGGTGCACAAACCCTTTTTGTTCACCTGCAGTTCTATTGTTACTTTTTTCACGTAGCAATTTTTAACTTTTGATTTTAAGCTGAAAAAGACTTACTCCCAAGCAAGTTTGTATAGTATTGCTTCTTTTATACTTGAGAACTCCAGATAGTAAGGGGTGCATAAATGAAAATAATAATGGGTTCAGAATTGTAAATATGTTGAAACTATTGTTTAGGAATTGATACATTTAGCTATAACTAGTTTTCTTGTTTTACTACTTGCAATATAATTTAGGAAGCTCAGTAATCATGTCACTCCTTTTGCATTTGGTTATGGTTCCCGCAGAGTAACCCCTGAGCCTTCATTTGTCTCTAAATGTGCCTTTATTTGACCTTAACTCAGTGGCTAAGAAAACATTTGTTACATAGACAATAATACAGCAAGACAGTTGGTTCAACTACAGATAATGTTTCATTAGACTCTTTCAAACTGACAGGCGTGGTTGTTTGAATGTTGTCTTATGAAACAGAGACTACCCAGCTTTGCTTTTCTCCATTCTTTTCTGCAGGTTGTTTTCCCATATTCATTGTATCTCACCAAATTTATATAATAATTAGCTAATCAAGCTGTATGAAGTTATCAAATATGCAAGGTCCAAGCTTGATGTGCTACCTCTTGCTACAATCTGGCATGAAATGAAAATTTGACATGTCTAAATTTTGCTTTGAATTTGTATATAAGTATTGCATATTCTGCATCCAGACTTCATGTCATATTTGTTATTTTCTTTTTGATGAAACCTCCTATTTTGTTCTCAGCTGTAAATTATTATACAATCATTGACAATAGTAATTTAAAATAGGTTACATGTATGCAACACCCCCCCCCAAAAAAAAATCAGCCCTGGGACAGTCTTTAATATAGAACAGAACAAGTGAAACAATGATGCAACATTTACAGCATTGAGGCTACAATCCTGTATCCACATAACTGGAAGTAAGCTACATTGAACTCTGCAGAACTTATTTCTGAGCAGACATTTATCGGACTGCACTATTAACGCAAATTTTGTACGGGACACATGTTTCCGACAATCTTTTTCTCTTATTTTCAGCAGTTTCCTCAAGATGATTATTATATTTCTGGAGCTGACTTGTAGCAAGTTTAGAATTCAATTTGGGGATTACTAAGGGCGCAGAGGTCCACAAATGTTGGCATGTGTATGGTGGTTTTCTTTGGCTAGGCATCATTTGTGGCTGCCACTGATTCTTCCTGGCATATGCTGGCACGCTGCAGATGACTATTAAGAGAGAGGCTCTCTCAATTTTGTAGTGCATGAAAGTAAGCAACTGTGGGATTGATTCCCACTGTCTGGGATTTCTGCTGTTTGTTTGTTTGTTTTGCTTTTTCATAAACTGCAATGGAAACCAGACCTTATGGGTTAGGAATCTGTGTTGCTGGGTGTCCTTGCTGGACAGAAGGCTGGGGGCAAATGCCCCCAGACAGCTGATAAGTGAATTTTGTTCATGCCTACCCAGCTAAGGCTCAAACTACTTGGGACAATATCAGACCTATTTCTTTATACCGGTACATGTCTAATTTTATATAAAGCCCAAATGCTTATTTTGATGCAAAACTCCAACCTCAACTCCTTGTTTTGTATGAAAATGGGTTTTGAATAAAAGTATCTACCAACTAGAGATGTAAAACATCTGAAAATTTAGAAGAAATGGAAATATAAGTGCATTTCTTCTTGGATGTAGTGGTTGTAAAGACAACAGATATGGGGGTGTGGGATCAAAATATATTCAACACTTGGGCTGCAATTCTCTACATACAAACTTCTAAGTGTAAATTCCATTGACCACAATAGTGTGAACTTATCAATAGACATATTTTGAATTGCGTTGTTACTTTCTTACTAATTCTAGTCTTGGTTTACTACTTTGTGAGCAAAAATGTGCATGTATGGTGCACATAAATTGTGCAATTTTATTATTTGTTTTTAATGTAAAAGTATAAACAGTCTTTTTTTCTTTACTTACACAATAAATAGAAATATATGCAGCGATGTAGCTCAAAGTTGCTACATCCTATGATACCCAACTCGTTGACATCCGTCTGTCTTGAGAGACAATGGAGTGTGCCTAGGGGTGAAGTCAAACAACACCTCTCTAGGGCACAAACCAGAAAACCATATATGGAGGTCCTGGGCTGTCCAGACAACAAGGCCCCCATCTTAGCCCTGTGGATATGGTCCAAAGGGAAGCAGAGCAATATGTTTGGCACCAGCTTGGCTGAAGGAGTTGCAGGAAGGATGCATACTGGGTGCCATCCAACTGTCTTAGGAACTCTGCTTCAGATTTGTGTAGGCTTTACTTCTTAGCCTTTTCTTCTCCCAGAGATATCCTGCAAGACAGCAGATGTTTAGAATCAGAATTTTCCTTCTAGATGTGCTACCTTTAATTACGGGAGAATCTGAGGCAAGTGACAAGATGAGAGGGATCATCTTGTACAATGATGGTAGCCTTCCAAGTTTCCGCCATGCTGCAGGCGCTCCTCCTAATAACTGGAGATGTTTTGTATTATGGAGTTCCCCTTCTCCCAGACCATACCCTAAGTGTGTTACTTGTTTAGTAATACATTCAAACACCATAGTAATGTCAATCTCCCCCAAAAAAACACATTGGAGAAAACTGACTGTAACAATATTATTTTAAATATATTTCATAAGTGATTTTTTTTTATTTTTTACATTTCATGTCTTTGTAAAGTTCTTACCGCTGCTTTCTCATTTTTAAAGTTTTCTTTAGACCTTTCCCTCTCCTTCCACATCATGTCTTGTTGGTCTCTATTTTCATCAAGCATTTTTCTTATTTATAACACGTCACCAGTTGGTTGTCTTCCTTTTTGCCCTACTATCCCTAACAAGTATCAGCAATAAAACTCCCCCCCCTTTTCTTGTCAGTCTTTGAATTGACTTGCATTTTTCTTTGACCTCTCAGTTTCTAAAACTGTTAATTGCAATGATCTAAAACCGATATGATGTCTCATTTTATTCTGAAGAGAAATGAGTACTTTCTCTCTCTGTAACATTTAGGATATCTGAGAATAACTCTGGAAAGTGGGGTGATATACGCTCATTCTTGGCAAACAAGAAATCTTCCCTTATTTAAAAATAGGTTTAAAGAGTATTTATTATTTTCCTTCCATCAGAGTTTATTGGATTGTTGTTATTCTGCATTTCCCCCCCATTTCTGTACTGGTGAATTGAGTTTGAGCTGTGATTTGCTTGACAGTATATACCACTGCCAGATGCTAGAAGCTTTAATGTAGTCTGGAAGCTGTGCTACAGTATTTGTCATTCTAGATGCTTTGAGCTGAAAGGACTTTCTATAACCTGATTAGATTCAAACTTCCCAGACTTGCCACCTCTACCAATGCCTTCTGTAGTCTGCTATTTATTAATTGAAGTTCCTTTTTAAAATTTATCTTGATGGTTTAACTGCTGCCGTTTCATTTTAAGGGGACGTAAAGTAGTTTTAATTAGATAGTTATTTTATCATTTGTTGTTTTCGTTGTATTTTATGACATTTTGTACACTGCCTTGAAGAGGCAATTGTGCCCTAAAAGGTGTTAATAAATATAGTGACTTCTTGTTTCATATAAACTCTTTAAGTTTATAGAGGAGCACGGGAGGAGACATTACACTGTTTCGTTAAAAACCAACAACCAAACCACACAGTGTAATAATGAAATTTATACTTTCATTTATTTAACAAGATTTATATATTGCTTAATTGTAAGAAAACTTTCAAGTGGTTTAGTTGCTTGAAGAGACTGCTAATAACGTTGACTAGGCAGAACAACAAGTAGAGGGGGCGGGGGGGGGGAGCCATGGTGGGGGGTGGATAGAAGAGGAACGACAAGACCAGATGTCAGTCCTCTCTTATTGCACACATACAATTGAAGTAGTTCTTTTAAAATCTCAGTATTAAAGAGCAATTGCTTTTATAGTTGTTGCATCTTCTGTCAAAAAGATTAAAAAAACAATAACCACAAAACAACTGCCAGTTGATTAATTTTTTTTAAAAAAAAATTAAACTAATGTATGTTTAGGAAATACAGTGCTAATGAAGATTTCACAGTTTTAGTAAACTTTTGTTCAAGAATCTTAAATATTACTCTTAATTTCTTCAGCAGCTCTGCCTCAGGTAATGCCTGTTCAGTTTAAAAGAAGAAAATTAACCTTGGGCAATGCTTTTCTTTCATGTTTCCCTTTCAGTTGCCCTTTTGCTATGTCAGAATAAATGTGGATTAGTGGAAAGCACTGTGAATCAGATTTCACTTATATTTCATTTACTTATTTGTTTAGTTATTGGCTAAACTGCAGTAAAAAATATTTTAAAGCACCTACACGTCATTTCCTCAAAACCTGCCACGATTCCCTCATGCTTCTGGGTTTGTCAGATTATTAGCCTGTGATGGAGGAGATAAAGCATTTCCTTGTATTGAATTTGAGCACGCTCTGTGCTTTGGGCCGAATTAAATATTAAAGGCTGTTTGCGATCTTACAGACAAGCAGGGCAGGCAGACTTTGGCACGCACATGGAGAATGAAGGGGGAAAAAAATCCCAAGAAAGAAAGGTGAAGATATTGGTGGACCCTCAGATCTGGGTGACTCCTTAGTATTCTTTGGAAACACTTGCCTCCTAATGGAAATACTTGTCTGAAAATGAAATTGACAGTGCAATCCTGTACATGCCTGCCCAGAAGTAAGTTTTGTTGAGTTCAATGGGGCTTACTCCTAAGGAAGTGTATATAGGATTGCAGCCTAACACAACAGAATAATTAAATTGCCTTAAAAGCATGTGTGCCACTTATTGTTTAGTTTTGGGTAAGTCTAGTGTTTGGAGTTTTTTGTGGAGTTAGTAGGGTCCATATAAACAATTTACTTATGTGACTCTGGGTCAACAGCAAATAACGTGGGATCTCTGTGTTTTTAATTTTTAAAAGAGGCTGTAGGATCTTCTGATTTGAATCAGGGTCCTAGTTCAATAGTGAGGGATGGTATAACACAGGGATCAGCAAACTTTTTCAGCAGGGGGCCAGTCCACTGTCCCTCAGACCTTGTGGGGAGCCAGACTATATTTTGAAGAAAAAAATGAATGAATTCCTATGCCCCACAAATAACCCGGAGATGCATTTTAAATAAAAGGACACATTCTACGCATGTAAAAACACGCTGATTCCCAGACCATCTGCGGGCGGGATTGAGAAGGTGATTGGGCCACATGCGGCCCCTGGGCCTTGGTTTGCCTACCCATGGTAACACATCATGGTTATGGCCCTGATCCAGATTAGCCTTCTGGAGCTGCTGTTGGCCATGGAAGGACAAACTCGGATACTTCAACAGCCCTAGGAAGAGGCTGTTGCTGTTTGTGAGTCCTCCTGTTGTCTGAACTGCCATCAGTGGTGTAGGAAGAGGGGTGCGGTGGGTGCAGGCTGCCCCGGGTGTCATCACTGAGGGGGTGACAAAATGGCAAAAATATGTGTTTTTAAAATAAGAAATTCCCATCGTGAAAAGAAGGTTTTAAGTGCTTATGCTCACAATGTTAAGTAAATAAACCAGAGAACAACACTTTCAACTGTAAGTATCTTATTTTTCCTTCTTTTAATAATTTCAATGTGTGTGTGTTACAAGAAATTTTCCGCACCGGGTACCACCTGACCTTGCTACGCCACTGACTGCCATCAGAATTATAAACATCCCTAACTCATGAAGCTGTGTGTTGGCTTTTAAAATGCTTTTCAACTGTGTAGCAGTTTGTTTTATCACCACACCAGCCTTTGGGTCACCAGTGTCTGTGGCAAGAATAGTTTTTGCCCCACCTCAACCATGTCCTGTGTTGGTCTTTTTATTTCAATCAGCTTGCATGGAAGGAAGGCTAGCATTGGCCCCATAAGCAAGAGGAAGAGCACACTGTCAAAGAAGTCTAGTGTGATGGACCTATATGCTAAGAAGGCATTTAGGAATATGTTGCTAAAGTGGACATGTGTAACTTTACAGTGGAGTTTTTATCCTTTGCAGGCCTTTCTGCATACAGTCACCTTGTTCATGGGCTTTCTTACTAACTCCTTTCATCCCATGGGTGGCTGGCTTTACAAATTTGGTCTTATCTGTCATTCTCTCTATGTGGAGTTTAGTGGAAATGCATTTATATTACTTAATTAGAAACTTTGCCTTTACTGAACCCTCTCACTATGTGGCTGTCTATTACCTAAGGCTTAAAAACCATGATAATTACTACGTCTATAAAATGCCTCTCATTACAACACATAAAAATGTGTTGGATTAAAGGGACTGCTAAGAGGGGGATTGTTTGCTGTATTTCACTCAGCATAAAATAAAAGGTAGATAAAAAAATTAAGCATTGTACTAAGTAGAATTGTTTGCATACAAGAAGGACCACCTCAATTTTTCTGTATTTGAAAGGATATTGATAAAGGTCAGTGGATCGCTCTGTAGTGGAAGGGCATTTGTGCATATGCCAAATCCATATGTGCAGTCGGCCAGTTTCTTGTCTGTTTTGCAACAGAAATGTCCTTTATGTTGTTTCTCAAAGACTTCATGAAACACGATTGTATTGGGAAATTAAGTATAACTGGCTTTGCTAGATTGAGGCAATATTCTTGGTCAGAGTATATTAGTGCAGATAATTCTGGGATACATGTGAAGCATGTGAAATGGCCTTGAAGAAACACTATAATGGGTTAAGCAAGCCCTAGCATGTACAAAAAAGAAAGAAAGACTTTGCCGTGTTCATAATGAAAAAGCTTACGAGCTTCTGTACAACCTGTTCTCCTATTGCATTGAAGATGCCACTTGAAGATAAATCTAACAAGAAGAAATGTGAAATCCCTTTTCCTTAATTACAAATAGTTAACCGACAGCGAATAATGGAAGGGTTTTGTAAAAAAAAGTGCATGATTGTTTATTGACTCTGGCCATGCTGATTGGTGCTGTCATATGGATGCCATTAACTTTTTCTTTCTTTCTAAGTAACTACTACTGCTCCATTTGAAATTGGCGTGGCCAAACCCCAACTCTTTCCGGAAGCAATGCTTCATAAACATATCTCCCCCCACCCCAGTCTCCCCCACCCACCCACATACATTCTTTTTTGGGGGTAGGCGGGGGGGGGGGAGGTAAACCTAATGTTCTTCAAGTTGTTAGCATTCCTCTTTTCTCTTTTATTCATTCCCCGCTCGAACCTCACTTATGAAATAGATCTGTCTGATGAAACTCCACAGCAGCAAGCCTTACAGCCTCCTTATTCAGAATGAATTTTACTGAAGCGTGAACTGTACTTTTCAAATGGAAACATTCCATTTGCGATGTCATGTTATTAGTGGATTTCAAAAGCAAACAGAAAGTGTAATTTAAATCTATCCCTCTCAACTGCACTTCATTATAAATATCCTCAAGTTGTTTTAAAACAACATGAGCTGTAGCTACCCTGTGCTTCTTGCTGTAAGCTGCTCGTATTCAAAATGCTGAATCATGAAATTGGCGCGTGTTTCTAATGAAACCATGTGTGTTTCAGAACTAATCCTACATTATTTCAGTCTTGCTCTTCTGTTACCTTTTGTCTGAGCAAGACTCTTATTTTGAGCCTTTTTTAAAAACACAATTTTAGGGTAGCGTTGCGCAGTGAATCATTGGCAAAGCCCAGAATCCTCTGTTAAAAACAAGATTTATTCGGAGTTTGGAAACCATACTTTTTGTACGTATTGATATTTCAAGAATGAGCTCCATGTGCAAGAATAAGAATGGTTAATGTTAATGCTAAACACTCCCTTGCTCCAAATATGGCTTCTTGGAGAAGCCTTGGTTGTGTTCTAATATTATTGGATAGTAGTACATGAGTTGTACTGAAGACAATCACAATTCTTTTGTTTCCCATTTTTGTGTTATCCCACAGTTTTGCTTTTGTGGCGCAAGTGTATTGCAGATTTCCCAGATAGCATTTGGCCCCTTTGAGTTCCAAAATAATGGAATTTGCTTATTTGAATAATTTTCTAACAAAATTTACATTTTACATTTTATTTTTGTCAGGTCAATCATTTGCAGTAGCCTTAAGGGCTAAATTATGTAGTGGTCATATCCACCTTTGAGTTGGGGATCTGTCTGTTCATTAGGAGACTCGAGTCTTCCCTAGCAATGAGTTGCATTCCAATAGCTTCATATCAGTGGTAAAAGGAACATGGCACGCATGTGTTTAAATTATTTACACTCATAATCGGCCTTTATGTTACATTTTACATTGCCGAGCCAGGCCTCAGTTATTCTAGTGCATAATTGATCGTGCTCAGAAGTGGAAAAGTTAGAAAAGCGGAAGTAATTTGATGCGAATGTGCAGTGAGGCAGCTCCAGCTGGTATAGCCTATCGAGGCTGAGAGGTCTGAGACACAACAGGATTGCGTGTGCATGCCCACCAAGGGAAAGGCATCAGAAGTAACAGGTCTTGATTCTAGCGTCTTGTTGGGAGTTATATTTAGGGGGTGAAGGGGGGTGAAGGAGTCAGCACTTCTGACTTTTTCCTGCCAAGTCATATGACTAATGGAAAAACTGGGAAGATGTAACAATTGGCTTTAAACTAGTATTAGAAATTGTTTATTCCAGTTGTGGCTAGTTTATTCTCAAATTAATTAATAACTGGAAATAATTAATTTATGGCAACTGAATTCATCTAATCCCTTTATGCTTTGGTTGTGAGGACAAGAACGTAATGGCCTACTACTAACAACTTCTCAAAAAGGACTTTATACCATTGATGGCAAGGCTGGAACCTATGACTCTTTCTTCTATGGAACCATTCATTAACTTATTTGTAAATGAAGACATTAATGCACTGTATCTTGATAGCTGCATGCTGAAATTGTAGGCATATTTACATATCTGGAGCAGAGGGCATGTTAAGGCTTAATATTAATAACTCTTTTAAGTAATTTTTTAATACTATATTTTTATATTGTCACCCACCCTGGGAATTTATGGTAAAGGATGGGTAAGAAATCAATTTAATAATGATAATGATTATGTGAATCTTACTATAATAAAAGCCAAAGATTAAGGAGGCAACTCATAAATTTTATCTTCAAGGAGAATCAGCATAATTTTAGGACACATAAACTCCCCCCAATGAAATTTTATTCTCTAGAAAAAATAAAGAATACTCCTTGAATATTATTCGCCTCTAAACTATTTTGAAGCCTGTACTGAAAGTTGAAGCGAATTTCTGTTGTTGTCTATGAACGGTGGGAAAAAAATCATTCCAGTTATATTCTGTGTTGTCTCTGCATAACCAGAACAAGCCCTTGCAAGTCCCATGGTGTAGCCTCAAAATCTTCTAGAGTCCCCTCTAGAAGTCCCGATTCAGGAGCAGAAATCCAGTTTGAGGTGCTCACGCAAAACCACCTTTGTTTTTGAATGCTGTACTGAAATAGTAAGTAAAGTGAGTGCTTTAATAGAGACAATGAATAAGAAACAGTTGTTTTAGGAATTGACAAGTCTCTTGGTTGTGATTTCCAGCTACCGTTGCAACCTTGAAATTATTATTTTTCAATAGATCTGTCTTTCACAGCTAAATACCATTTTGATTTTTAAAACCATCTACTGGAGACCTCATAATGAATAGAGCCACTCTCAACTCTTGTGAAAATAAATGCTGATACTTAAATATATTTGATAAGATGGTATCTCCATTTTAATTATGTGGAATACATGATGGGAATAATTAAACAGGTCTTGCTTGCTTTTTGTTTATATTTTTTTAATGTCAGCTGATGCATTTGTATAATTTGGTACAGTGTGATAACACTAAGAGTTGCAACTAATCATTATGAATTTATATCCTAAATATGAAGGGGTATGTGTTAAGGAAATCATACTATTCTAAACTCTATGTCTGCTTGGATTACCTTTTTACACAGAGGTAGCATTGATACAGGCATTTGTATGCTAAATGCTCCCTCTGTGACAATTCTTCAGGTGATAAAGTGGCTAATAACTTTTATTATTTCTGTGCTGTGAAAATGAATGCTTTGTTCTCCGTTTGCTGGGAAGAATAGTGTAGAGATCCCAGATCAACTTATCCCCATGCTTTAATAATCTTGCCTCATTAACATTTCCTGTATTAATTCTGCCAAGTAAAACAAACAAACAAATACCAATGGAGAACAATGAAGGATGAATAAAAGAAATAATACAAAGATTATTACAATACTAAAAATGGCAGGAAAAGGTATATGACATGATATTTCACACAGAAAAGACGGCCTCGTAACATTTAATGAAGCAATACAAATCCTTTCAGCTTCTCTGATGATGGCGCTATAAAATATCTTAATAAGCTTTTTTTTTATTAAAGGCGTCTCTGACTTGTTTCAAAATACTGGCTGTTGTAGTATTGCATGAAGGATGAAGTAGTATGAATACTACTCCTTTAGTTGCATGGACTAAAGTAGTCTGCTGTGCATTGCACATCAAACTGAGGCTTAGTATTAATAACCAGTAGATGTGTGTTCCACTTGCATTGTAACAATAGCATACAGTACTCCTATTTTCTGTCTAACAGGCAGCAATCTTCTTTCACCCACAAGGCATTTCCTATTTAAAGTTACCATTATGGGGAAAAATATATCTCTATTCTTATCACAACTGCAACACAGTGTGCATAACTGCTGCTTTTTATTCTGTGCTTCCACTGTGGCCGGGTGTGGGCCGAGTGCATTGTTAATACTGTCCACTTGATTGCTCTAGGTAACGTCTCATTACTTATTGGCACTTATGAGACCGTAGGGATATGTCCTACTTTCTGATCTCTTTCTCCAAAAGGGTTGAGCTGCTGGTTGCAAACAAGGAGATCAAAGCCTTTTGTGTGCCTTTGTTGGGATTGCTTTTACCTTCACACATGCTTCTTCTCTGGTAGGGGTTATAATTCTGTTCTTCAGACATGTTCTGAGCCTAAATTGTTATCGGCTAACTGCTTTGTATGTAATGCTGCCTCTTCACCAATGGAGGCGAGGTGCTTGGAATGTGAGAAAGGCTACTTTTACCTCTTTGCCTTTCCCCTTGTACTATAGTCCCTATCTCCCATTCTGATCTTGAAGGGTCCTTTAACCTCTGAAGCAGATGGTTTTTTTGTGGTGGTGGTGGGGAGGGAGGAGGGTGCAGGGAAGAGGGTGAATATAAAATAATTCTGTTAATTTTCTGATCCGCGGATAGAAGCCTCTGTTGGCTCAATTACCCTTCTGTCAGTAGAGGGACGCCATTTGGTAACATCCCGGTTTGATTCTGTAGTCCCACTAGAATGGAAAAAGTATGGTGGCTTCTTCAAAACTACAAAACATTGGGGGTTACAAGTTTATGCGGTTACAAGCAATGGTTGTGCTCCTAAACATAGATTGATCTCCCTGCAGGAAAGTGCATTATTCTTTATATGCTTTTATGGGTATTAAAGTTTGATGGCCTGTTTTAGTGATATCACAGTTTTATTATCTCGTTATCCATTAAAAATGTTCAATAATGTCCCTAGTTTGGTTTTGACTGTCATCTTAACCTAGTCTCATTGTTTAGCTATGTCTATACTAATCATGAGTGGGATTGTCTTATGGTTTATGGCTTGTGGTTTGTCCAGGAGAGCGATACCATGAACCCACTAAACATCACACTAAGCCCAAATGTGGCACAGTTCAGCACAGTGTGGCAGCAAAACAACAAGAATGGTGTTA